CTCCCGGCCACCACAGCCTCGACCTGCTGGGCTCCAGAGATCCTTCCGCCTCAGCCTTCCGAGTAGCCGGATCTACAGGCGCGCGCTACCACGCCCGGCTAATTTTTTATTTTTATTGTAGAGACGAGGTCTTGCCAAGTTGCCCGGGTAGGTTTTGAACCCGCAAGTTCAGGCAATCCACTCGCCTCGGCCTCCCAAAGTGCAGGGATTACAGGCAGAGCCACCGAGCGCGGCCTTATATAATACTTTATATATTTTTACTCAAAGTCCTGTTAAATGTTGAATCGGTTCCTATTTTCTTCACCCACTTCTCGTTGGTCTTTCTTCAAAGGTTCAAAAGGCAATATAGTCCCAAAGATGGAGTGATGTAAAGGGTTACACATTTGTTTGTTTGTTTGTTTGTTTGTTTTAGTTGGAGTCTTACTCTGTGGCCCAGACTGGAGTGTAGTGGCACACCCACTACAGCGTCGACATGCTGGGCTCCGGCGATCCTTCTGCCTCAGCCTTCCAAGTAGCCGGAACTACAGGCGTGTGCTACCGCGCCCGGCTAACTTTTTTTTTTTTTAATTGAAGAGACGAGGATGGCCCCAAATTACCCAGGCTGGTCCCGAACCCGCGGGCTCAGGCAATCCACTCGCCTCTGCCTCCCAAAGTGCTGGAATTTCAGGCTGAGCCACCGAGCCCGGCCGAGTTACACATTTTAATGGATGGATTCGGATACAGTGGCTCCTTGAAAAGATCACTTGAGTAGGCCATATTTGGTATAAGCAAAATTGGCAAGAACCCGATTGCATCAGCTTATAAATTATTGTTCATCTAGATTCCAGGATACCAGTGTGACCAGTGTTCCCAGCACAATTTTGAGATGAGGCTCCCACAAACTGGTTCCATCTGTTTTAATCACCCCAATGTGATGAAAGCCTTCATTCATAGTATGTGGATATTATCTTCTTTCCACTGTACCTAGATGACCAAGTAAGGTCATCTACCACAAAAATTTTGGAACAAGGTGTGATTTTCTTATGCTTCCTAAATCACTTAGTTGGGGCCTACATCCTATAACAGAGAGGATTCAAAGACTAGTGGATGGAAGTATTCTTCCCCCAAATATCTGTTTTATTTTCTCAAGAATGAAGAACTCTCATGTTTTGCACTTTTTAAAAATTTCTTTTAGGCTGG